ACGTGAGAGAAACGCAGTTATTAAAGACTTATCCGCGAAACACGGGTAATTCGATCCTTCCATCTCGACAACTTTTATTTAGCATCGAATTTATAGCCGGCCTTGATCGTTCGCCTACTCGTCGTCAAACGAAGGAAAGCAACCGAATCGAGGTTATCCAATTTTATGCAGCGCCGAAGCGCGGAAACGGTCGTAACGATTCGCAAACTTCGATCAATTGTCCTGCCTCCTGTTCGTTCCCGATTGAAAACGGGGCAAAGGGAGGTGGAAGACGGAACAAGATTTTCGCATTTCCATTACCAATCTTTGCCAGCCGAATTATTAAGAAGTCTCATAGCTCCTGAGCCCGGCTCCTTGGAAAATTAAACGCCTACTTCCAATCGTCTTCGGCGATTCAATCCTCGAGATTTTTCAAACAACGAGAGAAATACTGACGAGTCGATGGACGAGAGAGACGCGGCACGATTGCCCAATTATTCCGCGATTGTTCCCCCTCGAGTGGCCTATCTCCTCCTTTGTCCGATATAAGATAGTATGACTAATAACAAATTAGTAATTACTATTGCTCCTCACACCAGACTATATAATCATGGAGGAAACGAAAAGGAAGAAACTGAAGATTAGATTGGCAAAAAGAGCGGTAGGGTATTGTTGGATGACCAATCCGGACAATATTGAATGTAGGCAAATACTGACAATAAACTAGCAACAGTCCACATAAAAGTGAACTGTGAATAGTTAGTCATAAGGGCAAGATCCAATAGTTGGTCATCTATGCTCCTTCCCCTTCCACTTGACGATGATAACCCAATANACATTCTAAATCATTATAGATTCATTCAATATCGCTAACTCATAAAACATTCTAAATCATTCTATATCGTTAAGAGCATTAGACATATATCGTTATTCTAAGACATTTTAAATCATTGTGTATCATCCTATTTCATACACGACCACAAAATTGTAAGGGAATAAATTCTTCTAAATTGTAAGCGTGTTGACTCCATTACACGGAATCCAACAGTATGAAGGAAGGATAGAAAGAGAAAGAGAGGGAGGAATAGTCAAAGAATGCGTAAAAGAAAGGAAATCAGGAAAAGGGAACCAAGAAAGAATAAGGGAAAGGCAAGATCACCTCAAAACGTATGGTTTTAGACAGATAGGAGTAGAACAATTGTGGAGAGAAGGGAAACCAGCAGGGAAAATACAAAAGCAAAGACAGTGGAATAGAATTCAGAAGATGAGATACAATTGGAAGTATAAGTATCTGGTAACAAGAGAATTACCAAAATACCTGAAGGAGAGAAGGAAAAATGGAGAGCAGAAGGTGATAGCACGATGGAAATGTCAATTGTGCGAGGATGAGGAGGGAACATTAGAGCATTGGAGAGACTGTAGAGAGATGGAGACAACATATGCAAATCTGGAAGAGATACTGAGTGAAGAAGGCGGGAAAGAAGCGGTAAAATGGCTTAGGCGAATAGAAAGGAGAAAGAAAGATGAAGAGAGACAAGGAGAAGAGAAAGAAGAGATAAAACAAGTTTAAAAAGAAGAGAGCAACAAATAAACATGAAATAAAATGAAAGAATTAGGATTAGATATTAAGTAGACAAAAGAATAACATAGTTAAGATAAATATAAGTATAGGATAAAGCAAAATAGGATACAAAATATTATGTAAATATTATAATATGTAAAAGCAAGGATAAATGCAATGCGAATGTGCAATGTAAAAACCAAAGTCAATTTCAAGGCCAAAGAGGCTGAAATAAAAAATATACTACTACTACTATTGCTTCTCAAAATGATATCTGACCACATGGTAAACACATATCCTAAAAATGCAGCCGCTATTGATAAAAATATTAACACGTATTGTGGGATGGGCAAATTCTAGGAAAGGGTCCAAAATTTTCTCTAGTGCCCAACAATTGCAGATGTGCCAAGTGTTACCATAAGCTGTAGAGAAAGTTAGGCCTGGGACTTGGGATTGTTTATGGACCTCCAGGCCTAGCGTTTAAGATATTAAGGGTATAGATGCGTTTGTGTGTATGTGTGTGTGTGTGTATGAATGACCAATTTTTGTGCAGATGAGGAGAAAAGGCAATGAGTTTCGAGCAATCAGAGAGAACACAGTGAGTTTCGAGAAGTCGGAGAGAAGACAGTGAGTTGAGAGTTGCGAGAGAGAGAGAGAGAGAGAGAGAGAGAGAGAGAGAGAGAGAAGAGAGTGAGCCGAGAGTTGCGAGTCTAGCGAGTTTAACAATTAAGAAAATAGTGTGAAACGTCACTTTATAATCATTATTAAACTTAAATTTTCCTTTATTTTTCCTTTAACTTTTAATGAACCTTCTTTAAATGAATCTTTTACCAAATTCCTACAATATTAAATTTTGTACAAATACTGTACATAGTATAATTTTTTTAACATAATTGTATATAATAATTTCTACAATTGTACATTGTATACGTTTTTTGCGTTTAATTCGTCCTAAGAGACACTTTTGATATTTTTGAACATAATAGGAGCCACCGGACGCGAAACTCGTGTCAAAAATTACAACTCGCGAAAAGAAAACGCGTCATGGGTGATACGAGAACGCTGAAAATAAGCCGCTCAAAGACGAAAAAGTATCAAGCACGATTCCAAGCCCGAGGGGTGGCGGAGGCTACTCGAAAGTTTTTCCTCCGTTTTCGTACGACGTTCGGACTTTCAATGCGCAACGTCGAAGAGGGAAGAGGTTCACGACGAAACGCCAGTTTGGCCATAACGCCGGTGTTGGAAACTTATCGATGGACATCGTTTCAGAGACGTAACTCCATTGCTGGCATGCTTCACGAGCAGAAGCTCCCTCCCCCCACTCGGTATCTTTTTCAAGAGGGTGGACAATAAGGGAGGATTCCGATCGACGAGGATTGTTGCGAGGGAAGTTTGGCTGGATCCTTGGCTCGGGCCGGCCAATGTAACCAGGGCATAAATATTGATGAGATTGTATCGGCGAACAAGTTTCCCGGGTGCTCGTAAAAATACGAGACGCGCTGCTCGAGAAGCCAATAGTTACCCCGAATAATCGGCGAGCCGTGAATTGTACGAAATATTTTCTCCATATCGAATCTCGTCTCCAAGGGTTCGAGTGACCAGCGGGCAATTGATTCGAATTACGGCCAGCGGTAATGATCCGTTAATTTTCTCATCTCCGTGGAGTTTTTTTTACTCGAAATAGTCACTATCTTCAACAGAACGTCACTTTCGAACTCGAAACTTTTTCCAAGCAAGTACTAATAGTTTTTTTTTTCAAAAAATAGGAAAAAAGGTTTCGTTTGACGCGTGCTGACAGCGACTTTATGCTTCTGGACGTGATGTTTATATTTCGAATAACGTTAACAGTTAGTTTGATTAGATATCCTATTATATTAATATAAAATAATATTTTTATAATTAAATGTTAAATCATTAAAATAAAGTAATATGGCGGCCTTTTAAACTTTTTAGGGAAATTTATTATTTAATTTGATAATCCACGATAGGAAATACTTAAATTATATTTATGTATTGTTATTATAATTTATGAATAGAAATATATAAATAAAAATTTTATAAAATAATATTTCAAATCAAAATGCAGTATATTTATTCATTTGATTATTTATACTCACACTGATGGCACAGCTACGACAAATTAAATGAAATGATTTTTAACACGAAAATTACGTAATATAGACATACACGCGTTCAGAATCATAAAGTCGCTGTTAGAACGCTTGAACACAATATTAAACGATTAAGAAACTTTTCTGTTGCTTGTAAAAGTATTTTACCTTCGTAGAATACATTGCGAAAGAAAAAAAATTCATCTATGATATCCACCGACAAACTTTTCTTTTCACCTTGTACACTTTGGACCATGTGCACGATGCGAATCGGCGCAAAACAGCCAGTGACAAGAACCGACGAAAGTAGCGACGACGCATATGGCGAGACACATTCCCGATTAAACGCGCGGAAGCTCGCTGCGGATATCCGCTTTCCGAAACGTGTACGCTTCGCGCGAAACTCGCCCGTAAGTACGCTTGCACGAGACTCGTTGCGTCGTGTTACGCTGCCGGAAACCACGACGCGCGGATCGTCGGAAGAAGAGGGAAAAGAGGGAGATATTTGAAACGAAATTTACCGGAGAGAAATTCTTCTCAGATGGATTAACGACGTTTACCGGAAACGGAGGATCGAAGAGTCGAGTAAAGTTTACGAGTCACGCCACTCGTAATTCCTCCCGCCACGAAAAAACTCCGGAGAGACCGGAAATACGATTATTTCCTAACCTCTGACAGATACACGCAGGATATAAACTTCGATCGTTATCCTGCACGCGTAAATTTGTCCCAACGAGACTGCCGTTCTGTGAATCGTTGACGAACGATTCGTTGTCGGCGATCGTAACTTTCTTTCTTTCGTTTTTCTTTCTTTTTTAATTTATTTATTTATTTATTCTACGGAGTACGGTAATAAAAAATAGAAAAAGCAGAGAAATGGAAAAATAGCAACACATGAATAAATGTAGATCAATTGAAGAAATACTTATTAAAATAGATCATTAATATTTATTAAAATAATTTTAATTGAATTATTTATTATTAATTTAATATTTATTAAAATAGATCAATTGAAGGAATATGATAAAATCTGCTTACGATCGCACGCGGAAATGAGCCAAAGTATTTATTAGACACTGTCAAAAAAGAAAGAATATTCTGCAGAGGCAAACAACAGAACACAGATTCTGTGAACTGGATCAAATACGTTCAAATCTGAATGTGTATTGAAACACACGAATAGAACAGGAGCATCGAAACTGTGTGTATAATTTATACCTTTCAAAATCTTCGTGTGGGCGAAAACTTAAAAAATTGATAGACTCGGTAAACGAACTGACAGGGATGGGAAAACAGAACGGTTGGGATAAAAGATAAAAGGAAAATCTAAGCATATAACTTTATTGCAGACACGTTCGCGAGCAAGGTGGCCGCCTGCCAGGACAAGTACGCCGACGCTAGTGTTGGGAACGTGACCGGAAGTAACGCGGTGAACGTTTTCCTGGGGATCGGCATTGCATGGAGCATCGCAGCCATTTACCACGCCTTGCACGGCGAGAAGTTTGAAGTGGAACCGGGCAAGTCAGTATCGATTGCTTTTTTTCTTTCTTTTTTTTCTTTTTTTTTTTTTTTCTTTTTTTTGCTTTTCGGCATGTTATTTCTGTGTGTACAGGTTGTTTCAAGGAAACTTAGAAAAGATTATGCGGATTTCTAATTTTGAAACAACTTGTATTTATCAGATTCAACTATAATTTCTCAAAAAGAGCTAGAAACTCGAAAGAGTCGAGTTATTTGTACAGGTCGTTTCAAAGAAAGTTAGAAAAGATTATTATCGAAATATGCTGTTTTCTAATTTCCAAACAACTTGTATTTGTCAAATTCTTCAAAAAGAGTTATAAACTCGAAAGAGTCGAGTTATTTGTACAGGTCGTTTCAAAGAAAGTTAGAAAAGATTATTACATTAGAAATATGCTGACTTCTAATTTTGAAACAACTTGTATTTGTCAAATTCTCCAAAAAGAGTTACAAACTCGAAAGAGTCGAGTTATTTGTACAGGTCGTTTCAAAGAAAGTTAGAAAAGATTATTACATTAGAAATATGCTGATTTCTAATTTTGAAACAACTTGTATTTGTCAAATTCTCCAAAAAGAGTTATAAACTCAAAAGAGTCGAGTTATTTGTAGAGGTTGTTTAAAAAGAAGTTAGAAAAGATGATTACCGAAATATGCTGATTTCTGATTTTGAAACAGTCTGTCGAATATCCCCCAAAAGAGAACCGTAAACTCAAACGAGTCAAGGTCGTGAAGAAATAAAAGTCACTCCGAGTTGATTTCGTGAAAAAAAAAAAAAAAAATTCGATACCAGAGAAACTTCGCTGCGAGAGAACTTCCAGTTACCGTCGAAATTGAACAGATTGACACATTCTCTTTGAACTTTTTCCGCCGGACGAGAACAGAAAAAAAACGCGTTCGACGGGATTGATTTATCGTAAACGAAGTCGTGAAACTTTCGGAAACAGTACAGACTTTCGAGATTGGGCTGTCTAAATACAAGACTCGATTTGAACTTAAATTAAGTTGAATTAAATTCCGTTGCTCATATACATTATATAGGATGGGCCAAAAGTTTCTTCCCGCCTATTTTTTTCTTTCTTTTTTTTTTTGTTTAATAAAGAGAAAACCTAATTTTATCAAATATATTAATAAAAAAAATTACTGATTTATTTTAGTAATTGTGAGTGACGTGATTTCTTGGCCCACCCTGTATAATATCTCTTCAGTGGCAGCTTTTTGATACTTTTCTCTCTTCGGTGTTTCCTCATTTCTTTCTAATCACGTTGGAAACTAGCACAGTGTGCAACAAACCTTAAATTCAAGATTTAAGATCGAATCGAGGCTTAAGCGACTATTGTGTAAAACGTTAACGTGCCTAATTGTTTTTCTAAACAAAAAGTCGAAAAATGCGTGGAAAAGAATGAGTTGAGTTCAGAATTGATTAATTATTTTGTAATAATTTCTGCAATTCGATACTATATATCGAAATCGTAGCAATCGTGATTGTTAATCAATTAATCGTCGTTAAAAGAAATCAGCGATTAATTTTCGTAATTTATAATCGTTCGAGCGATTCATTTATATTTTAATTTTCATTTATATTTTAATTTGTAATCGCGACGTAACTTTCTTAGAGTTTCTACTGATACTCTCCTCCCAGCAGTGTTGCATTCTATTCGTAACAATTTTTACAAAATTGTCCGACTTGGGATATACAGTCGTCAATTGTGATCTCTGTATCGAGCGCACGGCAACACTTAACGTGTTAATCATAATGGTTAATCATTAATGTAATCAAATTAATGTTTTGCCCGCCTCTGATCAAATTTATCTTCCACATATTCTACGGGGGGCTGTCTGTCGCAATTTTTTCGTCACGTTACGAAAAATTTTTACACGAGATTCCGCTGTGACACGACTGTCAGCTGTTCGGTTGTAAAAGAACGAAACCTAGGATGATCCGAAAACGAATCTCCGAACATACGATTCGAGATAGTCGTCCGTACGAGAGACGCATCGATGCTACCGGAAGCCAGTGGTGTAACGGTGGATGACGTGAAATAAAACAGAATGAGACAATATATCAGATAATAATATATGAGAGAGCGTCGTTTCCCATTTACGATCGAGAACGATGGAAAGAAGGAAATTTCGGTCGGTGGTTGCCGAGAGGAGGTTGGCCAACGCCGCGATTTACGCGCTGAATCGTGACCAGCGCCGATGTGACGGTGTCCTCGTCTGGAAAATTGTTATCCCGTGACGTGTATCGGCAGGAATATCGCATAGGATGTAACGCGCGATACAGATATTACCGACGACGACGTTAGGTGTCAGAACGCAGACAATCTCCTCTAAAGAAAGCCATCCCGGGCATAAATTCCCGGATTTCGAAATGGCCTGGGCCGAGACTTCTTTCTCGAAACTAATGGTAACCGAACGCCAATCGTTGTCAATAAATAATAAATATTAAATTAAATATGAAATATTAAATTAAAATATGAATTAAATGTAATATAAATAAATATTAAAGTAAATATGAAATATTAAAATTAAAATATGAATTAAATGTAATATAAATAAATATTAAATTAAATATGAATTTAATTAAAAAGATTTATATAATAAGTGAGGCTGAGTAAAGATATTTAAAGATTATAAAATAAATATTAAAAGATTCGTATCTTTTGTGAGAAGTGTTTATCTGAAGAATCGAGAAGTTATCTGATCGAACAAAATGGTCAATTTATTGATAGAGTTTTTATCGATGAATCAATCTCGCTTTTCATTTGGGTATAAATGAAAGAAAGAAACGCAGTTACTTTTTGACTAATCTAATAAATAGTAAGTAAAACAGGATTAAATTGGAATTAATACGATGAACGTGAATGAAAACGGCGACGTATCTCGATATCGGGCATTTTACTGTTCAACTGAGGAAAATAGTATCTTGGTTTAAGGCGTTATGTACTTTCCATAATATCAGAGAAATCGGTTCTCCAAAAATTGTGTATTCCGTTATTACGATCTTTCTAAAATACTCTGGAATATTCTAGAAAATTGAAGCTCCCGCCGGCACCTAATGGTAACATAACTGAAAAGCGTTTCGAAAAGCGTTTCTCGCGGAATGGAATTTTCAAAATCGATACTAGAAATATCTGAATGGCCGAATCAATTTCGATAAAAATTTCTGGCAACATTCCCAAAGCTACTGCCATCTAATACTTTGACGAAGCGAAATTTTGATTCTTCTTCGTCTTCTTTTTTTTTATTAACAAAAGAGTTGAAGATTCGCGACAAGTTACGTGTTCCAAGTTGAGAAAAAATATAAAAATAATATAATATATATATATTTATTTATATAATAATATATATGTATAAATAATTAATATTATACATATATTTATATATGATATTAATAAATATTAATACACTAGTACTCTTGTGCAATTTAACGTGAAATTTAAAAAATTGCCTCAGACAACCTGACATTGTTTCGATGAAACAGCTCCCATAACCTTCGTACATTCAATTCAGACTTTTTGCAATCGATTGTGTGATCGAACAACATTTAACGTACGCGTTAACTTCCTAATGAAACTTGATGTAATTTTAATCTTCTTTAACAAACTCTATAATTTTCCTTATATATTGCAACCACTATTTACTATAATAATCATTAATTACAACTCGTAATTAATTCGAAATTACTGTATCAGTAACTACGTATAACGTGGTACACAAGGGCACGATATCGCGTTTTCAAAAACGTGCATTTTCCGTGCAACACGCCTCTGTGGCTGCGTCTAATTTTCTCGGTTGCCAATAACGGAGCTCGACCTCCCATGAATTTCAACGCCATGGTAAAACGGGTATCGCGAATCTTATTCCAACCAGCCTCAGACTCGTGAACCTCGAGTTCTTTTTTTTTTTTTCTTTTTTTTTTTGCCTAACACTAACGTTTCACTCGCGTGAAATCGAATTGCCACGTGGAAACAAACTAGATCCAACTAGATTCGAATTCGGTGATTAACACGTTCGAGACGAAGCCGAACGTGTAGTTTTATTTTTTTAATTAATAAAAATCGAGTGTAAGTGGCCGACGGCGGCCAAACGAATAATAAAAAATGAAAAATCATTGAAAGTGAAACTACGCGTTTAGAATCTGTCACGTTGATTCTATTCTCCGTTTTTCTGTTTCCTTTTTTCTATCGAAATTGTCCAACATCGATCGGTTGTTGAGCCATAAATCACTCGAGTGGGCTGGCAACAGATGCGACGCGAACAACCGGTAGCAAGGAATCGTAGTTGCGCCATGTGCACGCAGATGGCGTTGTAATATTCTCGATCGTTCTTGCACGCGCGTACCGATATCGATTCCACTTTGCATCCGTTATCTGATAACACTTCGACTTTCGGTCAAAAACGCGTGTTTGACATAAAAAAAAAAAAGAGTACGATTCGCCTAACTGACCACCTTATGTACATGTCAGTTTGAAGTGATTTTTAAGAATAAAAGATAGTAAAAAAATTAAAGTAAATAAACAATTTTTAAGAATAAAATATAATTTTAAAACATTAAAGTTTAATAAGAATTTTTTAAGAATAAAATATAATAAAATATACCGAGAATTCCCCAATCCTGCTCGTCCCATTCGTCGTCCGAACGCGAAAATTCTGATAGTTTGCGTTTAATTAACTGGGATTACGCCGGTGTATAATTGTAAAGCGTTATATTTATTCGAACTCGTTAGGGAACAAACTTGTGCTCGTGCAACGGGTTCATACAGCGAGAAGTCACGGCGGAAAGAATCGGCTTTATCGGTTTACTACGTAAATTTTCCGTGCACGAGCTGTTTGCCTCTTGATAAACTCGGAGGAACAGGGCTCTGTTCCAGCTGCAATGGAAGTCAATTACAAATAAATTTACACAGCGCATTGTGGCACAACTGCGCCAGCGACAACGAAAAATTGTCGATAATGTCAACTGACGTTTCATTTCCTAAAACGTGAACAAATCCTGTGACAATCCATGTGGTCTGATTTCAAAGTAAATTATCGTAACCTCTATTTTCACAATTGGAAAGGATGATTTTACACCACGAGCGAGAATGCTTCTTTTTTTGAAGTTTCACGTAACTAGATCGCTTGAAGATTGAAATCTTCTTTCTACAACAATTTCTTAAACCATGATGTTTGCCATCTTTTCTTCGTCATTTTATCGAACGTTGAATATTAGGATTAGGCTTAAATCTTCAAAAAATCCTGACATTTGAGATAAAATGGTGAGAAAAACAATCGTACAACGAGTTTTAAGAGAAAGTTGCAGCCGTCAAGACTGTACTGGATTTAGTCACGAAAAAAATTTCTCAATGTTTTCACACGTTTGGATTTTGACAGTTTTCGAGATCGTCTTACAAACTTGATGTGCGATCTTTTCTTCTACTACTATTTTATCGAACGATTAAATTAAAAAATTCCAGAAATCCTGACACTTCGTCGTATGTTCAAATAAAAAAATCGTGAATGTCAACGGCTCGTTGCAAAGAGAAAATTTCAATTTTCAAGACTACACTGGATTTAGTTGCGAGAGAAATTTCACAGCCGTTTGGATTTTGACAATTTTCGAAGAAAAAGTGTCCTTTTCCATCCGTGATCTAACGTAAAATCATTTAAAAAAAGAAAAAAGAAAAACGAGCTTTTTTAAGAAAGCTTCGCGCCTTGAAAATTATCATCATTACCAACGTCATTATTTTTTATTTACAAAATTATATCGCAGACGAAATATATGAATCATATACCTCGTCTGTAGTTATATCAATTGAAATTGTCCTGAATATATTGAACAATTATATGAAAGAAAAAAAAAAAAGAAAAGTTTTTCGTTGTCGCTGACACAATTACTCTTGCGAATGTGTAGAGAGCCATTAACGAACGAAAAAAAAAAAAAAACTAATAATCTCTGCAACAGCCTAGCCTTCTGCGTGACGCTATTCTGCACGGAAGCCTGCCTGGTGATCCTGGTTTTACTACTGAGGCGGACGAAGAGCATCGGCGGCGAACTCGGCGGCCCTTTCCTGCCAAAGGTCGTCACGTCGCTGGTCCTTTTTTTCCTCTGGGTGTTCTACCTCATTATGTCGATCCTCGAGGCCTACGGCTATATCGAGGGCTTCTAAAAAGGAGCCCTTTCAACGCCCGCAAACGTCGGCCTACAACCGCTCCGCATGTATATTCCTCGCGTCCGAATTCAAGGCGTGTGCTCAACGAAACGTTCTCTCGGCAAGTATAACATATGCGTAAATACACGCGAATAACGTTAATGAAATAATTAAACCTCTTGCGCTGGAAATGCGCCACGTGTGCCAAAGTTGCAATATTTTCTCTTAGTTTCAAGTATATGATAAGTAAATATGACCCAAGCAAGGCTGATAATAGTAATTTCTATCCAGTGATAGATTCCGATAAGTTCGAAAAAGAAAAAGACGAATTATTTCGTACAGTTTGGTCGTACGTTATGGTACGCGAGCCAGTTGCCAGCGCAAGGGGTTAAGTTTAAATTAGATTAAATTAAGCTGAGTTGCGTTTAATTTCACTCATTCAGTGACACGAATCTGTGTACTTTTGATCGTGATCCTTTCGCTGGAAAAACTGTTGCAAAGACAACCGTTCATCAATCAGGAAAGTGTTACTCATTGAACGTCAGAATTTGCGATCCAGAAAGGAATCACGATTCTCTTTCCGATTGCTTCCTGCACTGTGCTATTACACATTTCATCAATTATACCTTCTATAAGCCCTCATTTACGAATTTTCCCTTGATTGTCATTGTGAACAGACGCGCAAGAAGCGCATTGTCACTTCGAATTTGCGTCGTTTCTCCGATTCGCAAAATATAACGTCTAGCTTTGTTCTGGAAACAGATTTCCGAGTTGCGAGGCAAAATTTTCGTTAATGCCGGTAGATAATTGTCGATTGAGTCCAAGTGCTTATCCTAGCACGAAATCCCGAAATATGCGCGAGAAGTAACGAGAGTAGGGCAAATGTACTCACGGCGTATGAATCTCATTGTCACAAGTATACGGATAAATGGAGTTCTACGGTAGCTCGGAAATTCCATCAGCCTCGTGTTACATTTGGCATGATCTACGCGAGGGCTTCGATATTTATTTTTCATTTGTGCATAAATGCACTTAATAAAAACATCATAAACAAAACGATACTTGTAAACAAAAAATTGATAAAAAATGATGAAAGAAGAAATTATATTCAATTATGACTTATTTATTTACTAATAATAATTCAATTATGACTTATTTATTTACTAATAATAATAATTATTACTCTAAATAAATTTCGCCCAGATCTGCTTCGAAAAAAGAGTATAAGCGTTGAAAAGAGCCATGTTAATCGTGTAAAAAAAAATTTTTTTTTTATTAGACAAAATTGATGTAAAATTTTTTGTTTTTAAATTAATATAAAATTAATATAAATTTTTTTTTATATTAGCCATATTAATCACGTGAAAAGAAATTTTTTCTTATTAGATAAATAAAATTAGTTAGATATAAAATTAATATAAAATTTTTTATGTTTTTTAAATTAATTAGATATAAAATTTTTTATATTTTTAAATTAACATAAAATTAATTAGATATAAAATTAATATAAAATTAATTAGATGTAAAATTAATATAAAACTTTTTTTCATATTAGCCACATTAATCATTTGAAAAAAAAAATTTTTTTTACATCCTTACACACCGAAGAACGACATTTCAAAAATTTACTTACAAATTGTTCAAAATAAATTTCACCCGGGTCTATTTATACCATACAGAATATAAACGTTGGAAAGAGTCGTATGAATCATGTGGGAAAATATTTTTTTCATATATGCGATATATGCGAGACGTATTGTCGACTTCAACTTAGGAAACGCATGACGTCCTCGGATCTTCGTGAACGTCACGAGGCCAGCGAATCAACGAGTTTCACTTTGCAAGAAAGTGGAAGAAAGACTTGCGAATGCGAGGGAAAAAAAAAAAGGTTGCCGGATACCGGGCCGGGAGTGTGGAGTTCTTCGTCTAACCGATTGATCGTTTCCCCTTTTTCAGGACGAGAAGGAAGCGGAAACTCCGAAACGGGCGGAACCGAGACTCCCTGAACCGTGTGCCGGGAAATCGCTGGTAGCTTTTCACCCTCCCGCCTCCGGGACGATTAACAACGAACGTGTGCGATCGCGCGGCGTTAAAACGAGTGCGTGAGTGTGCGTGGACAGAGTCCGAGAGCGAGAGTGAGAGCGCGTGCGTGTCGTCCGAGGACCGTGCGGTGAAATTTTAAGCTTGATGAGAAAGATATTTGGGGGTGGGGAGGGGTTAAGTCAGCGGGAGGAAAGGAGAAGAAAGGAGAAAGGAGAAGCTCACGTGCGCGATAAGGATAAGTAAAACGTGTGAGTTTTGCCTTATAACGTAATTTAAAAACGAAAAGACGGTGGGGATGGGGACGTAGATAAGAGGACACTTTCTAGTCTCGTACCGTACGGCTTCACGGCTGTTATCAGATAGAGTGCAACAAAAATCAGAAGGATATATATATATATACATACATACATACATACATACAGACACGCGTACGTATAAATAGCGTATGTATTTATTTAGCCCTTCAAGAAGAACACTAAGGTTTCTATGGTATTTTACTAGTAGCGGACTGTATCCAAGCCATTCCTCTTTCCGCCAGAGAACGAGACGTCGCTAATTTTATATAAACGTACACGTTATCGATACGTACGGGAAATGCTCACCGATTCTCTCGCGAGATGCGCCCCTGAGCGTTCGTGAAAATCGCGTGAGGTGAAATAGTTGGCGTGGTCGGGAGCGTCGATTTGCATCGCAAAGCCCACCGAGTCAAAGACCTCGCGAACGAGCACTCACTACTTTAGGCAAAATAAGTTGAAGACGCGTAACCGCGGCGAGAGAGCAAGGTAACGTGTGTATAGAGTGGAACATCGCGAATTGTTCACTAACCTCCCCTTCGCGAACGAGAAAAGGGGAGAAAAGGAAAGATCTTGCGAAATGTTCGAGATCCATTTTCAACGTCGAGAAACGAAACGTTGTACTTACGGATTCGTTACATACGCGTACTCGATTCTCCGACGAGGCAAGGGGAGGCGAATGAGGCGCGGTCTCGATAATAAGCCAGCTCGCCGCGGCGATTGCTCGGATTAACAATACGATGAAACATGTTTACTATTTATTAGAGAGTAAATTATAGCTAGTGCGATCGAAACGCGTGGGGACGGCGTGCGCGGCGGCATTCGTTCGAGCGACGAAATTTTCATTGGTGTTCACTGCCTTTGATCGAAGGTCGCTTCAACGCCCCCACTTGCGCTTATTGAACAACAGTTGTTGAAACAATTGAACGGACATTAAGTAGAACACGTACGATGTTAAAAAAGAAAAATATATATATATATACAAAGAATAAGAATGAACACACGCGTTAATTAAACACAACCACACCGACGAACGAACCCGTGTTTGACCGGTTCAACAACCGACATAATCGGACACTCTGAGAGGTCACAGTGACTTAGCAAACGTTCTCAGAGAACAACCGTTCGATTAATTTTAGCAAAAATTAACGTTTTGGCCGAGAAAACGGCTGCGTCTAGTTGAGCTTTAGCGCTCCAATAGTGATTAAACCAAGGTAAACGATCAAGCTGGTTGCTCTTTGTTCTCTTCAACAACGAGCTAATCACGAAAGAGAACGCGAATCGATACGGTCTCGCGATACGCGGATTCCGCTCGGCGTGTGCTTTGACTTTCGTCGTTCCGTCGTCGGTTAGACTTAAGTGGCAGAGCTCTGTCGCGAGAAAACGACGAAAGATCGGACAAACGTCGAAATTTCCGCAGCTGTAGCAGCTGAATGACTGAACGAACTTTAACCTCCGTAGGTCGAACGAGCCTCTTCTCCTCCCTGTCGAAGCCGCGCGAAATTTAATCGCCGATTACGGATAATCGTAATCATTCGCGATTCACGGATCGATCGACCTCTTAGCTGTTGTTACCTTCAAAAATGTATATCTACATTGTGTCGATTATACTCGTCAAACACAGAGTACGTGCAGTTGTTGTAGCGAATTAAATAACACTGGTTTTCCTTGAAAAATCAATAATTTTGATTTAACTAACATTAATTAATAATAATTAATATTGTTAATTAATTTTAAAAGTGTGCTGCTAGTGTATCCAACTAGTTTTCCTTGAAAAATCAATAATTTTGATTTAACTAACATTAATTAATAATAATTAATATTGTTAATTAATTTTAAAAGTGTGTTGCTAGTGTGTCCAACTAGTTTTCCTTGAAAAATCAATAATTTTGATTTAACTAACATTGATTAATAATAATTAATATTGTTAATTAATTTTGAAAGTGTGTCGCTAGAAATTGTTAACTACAAAATTGAATTGAATCACACTAGTTTTTGTTGAAAAACTCAATAACTACTTAAATATTCGTAATTTAATAGAAACTTAAATATTCATAATTCTCTTGTTAAATAAAAAAAAAAAATCAAATATTTGGAGAAAATGAAAAGAAATTGGAGATTTAATTTATTCTTTCAGAATGATGTTTCTTAAAGCAAAGATACGATACATAATGACACAGATGCGTGTCAAGCACCAATATCTAGATTCTTTTCCAGTTTCTGACGATGTACTTGATACGTAATCTGAAAAATGTTTTCGCGATAAAACGTGTAATATACACGTAACTATACATTCCATACACTCCAGCGGGAAGTTTCTTTCTATATGACAAAAATTATATATCAAACAAAATAATGTCTACACTTATCAGACAGTGTATGCATTCAGATTGACTTTCACACAATCATAGCAAGGAAATATTTCGAAATGATGTAAAAAAGAACTAGTCCCGAAATATTGTCTACACAAATATTTGAAATTTACAAATATTTTAATTTCACTTTCCACGAGAAAGTTAATAAAAGGCGACAAATTGCAATCACTTTATTCGTCGTTACGAAAAAAAAAAAAAAAAAAAAAAAAAACGCTGCAATTTCTTCGCGACGAGTATACTCGTGTGTTATTCACAGCTAACAATAAGAGGTTGAAGCTTCCCTCTTCGTCCGAGGACAGAGTAGAATGGCGGCGAACGTAGGGAGAAGAAAGGAGGGAAGATTCGATGCTAGGAGGAATCTCCGCATTTCACGGGGAGGGGGGGGG